AGGAAGGCAAACCCAACGACGATCAAGTTGGCGGATGGGAAAACGGAGCAACTTCTCGACCGATACATCGAGGCCGTACCGGTTTATTTTGCACCTCATGCATGCGAACCGGTGACACTCGATATTCTCGACACGGACTTCGACATCATTATGGGAATGCCTTGGCTTGCAAGTGCAGATCACACGGTCAACTTCCATCGGCGGACTCTTAGCGTTCGCGACGCCTTCGCCACGGAAGTGGCGTGTACTATTCCTCTACCGCACCCTTCGATTCGGTGCCAAGTGGTGACGACCAAATCATTCCGGGTGACTTGCGCTTACGAGCAGCCAGAGGAAATCGGCCTATGTTTCCTACGGACCGTCGCGGTGGCCGACGCTTCACCCACGGACTTGTCTTCGGACCCCCGGGTGGTGCGGTTGCTGGATGAGTTCGCCGACATCTTCGAGTCACCTACCGGTGTGGTGCCGGACCGGCCGATCTCTCACGAGATCATTCTTGAGGCCGGTGTCGCCGAAAGGTTGCATCTATCGCATTAGCGAGGAGGAGCTTGAGGTCCTCCGCGCACAACTCGATGATTTGTTGGCCAAGGGCTGGATCCGCCCTAGCAGCTCCCCATATGGAGCACCAGTTCTCTTCGTCCGGAAGAAGAACAAGGATCTGCGATTATGTATCGACTACCGCAAGCTCAACGCACAAACCGTCAAGAATGCGGGGCCTCTTCCTCGCATCGACGATCTTCTTGAGCGACTGGGCGGCGCAAAGTATTTTTCTAAGTTGGATTTGAAATCGGGATATCATCAAATCTCGATCCGGCCGAACGATCGCTACAAGTCCGCGTTCAAGACGTGGTACGGGCATTTTGAGTGGGTGGTCATGCCTTATGGCCTCACCAACGCCCAGGCGACCTTTCAAGCGGCAATGACCAATGAGTTCCGTGCAATGTTGGACCGGTTCGTGCTGGTCTACTTAGACGATATTCTCGTCTATAGCCGGTCATTGGAGGATCATCTTGGGTATCTTCGACGAGTGTTGGAGACGCTCCGCCGCGCCAAGTACAAGGCCAACCGCGACAAGTGTGAATTTGTCCGGCAAGAGCTGGAATACTTGGGCCATTTTGTCACACCAAAGGGCATCAGTCCGCTATCGGACAAGATTCAGGCCATCCAAGAGTGGCCGGTCCCTCGGAACGTCACGGATGTCTGCTCGTTTCTTGGTCTTGCCGGCTACTATCAGTGTTTCATCAAAGGCTACTCGAAGATCGCGGCCCACTTGACCAAGCTTCAATGCGAGGATCGGCCGTTTGACTTCGGAGAGGAGGCGCGGGAATCATTTTTGGCTCTCAAAGCCGCGCTATTGTCCGCGGAGGTCTTGCGGATATACAACCCGCTTTTGCCTACGCGCGTCACTACGGATGCGTCAGGCTAGGGCATTGGTGCAGTCCTTGAGCAACATGATGGTGTGGACTGGCACCCGGTCGAATATTTCAGCAAGAAAGTGCCCGTCGTGCATTCCATTGACGATGCATGCAAGAAGGAGCTCCTCGCCTTCGTCCACGCGCTCAAGCGGTGGCGGCACTTCCTCCTTGGTCGAAGCCACGCGCTCAAGCGGTGGCGGCACTTCAACGGACCGTTTTGCGGATGCTCTTTCACGGCGTCCGGATCATTGTACCACGGTCTACTCAACCTTCGAGATCGACGATGACCTGAGGAACAGCTTCATCCGCGGCTACCAAGCCGACCCCGAGTTTCGCGACAAGTACGCGAATCGCTCCTCTCCTAATCCGGCGCCTTCTCACTACCGGATCCAAGAGGGGTACTTGCTTGTCCACACGCGGGGGAAGGACCTTCTTTGTGTACCGAGTGATCCTCACTTGCGTACACAGCTTCTTGGCGAGTTCCACGATGCTCCCGCCACCAGACACTTTGGAGTCAATCGCACGATTGGCCGACTTCGCCCGCGATTTTGGTGGCCCGGTCTTCTCGGCAACGTCACGCGCAATTGCGAGTCCTGCGAGGTTTGCTGACGCTGCAAATCCCGCAACCATCGTCCGTACGGCGAGGTACAACCATTACCGGTCCCGTTGAGGCGAAGGGAAGTGATTGCCATGGACATTACCGGCCCGTTAACCGGAGTGGATGGGATTCTCACGGTGGTCGACCGACTCACCAAGTTCGCCATGTTTTTGCCTTGCCGCTATCATGCCAAGGCACCGGAGTTAGCCGAGGTTCTCTACGCCGGTTGGATTCGAACCAAGGGTTACCCTAAGGAAATCGTCTGCGACTGCGACACTCGGTTCATGTTCGATTTTTGGTTGGCGTTCATCAAGCGATGGGGCTCGTCTCTCAAGCCCAGTTCAGCTCGCCACCCTCAGACCGATGGCCAGACGGAGAGGGCGCATCAGACCGCACAGGTTCTCCTTCGCACTCTCATCCGCCCCGACCAGAAGGATTGGGTTGAGCGGCTGCCGGATGTCGAGTTGGCCTACAACTCCTCTATCCACCCGACTATCGGGATGTCGCCCTTTGAGTTCGAGCACGGCTCGCCGGTCACTTCACCGTTGGACACTATTACTCCATGAACGGCCGAGAGCGACGACCATCTTCTTTTCTTGCGTCGGATGCAAGAGCTGCTTGTCAAGGCACGCGATCAGATGGCCAAGACGCAGCAACGCATGAGCCAGCAGGCCATCACCAGCGTCTTCCTTGCCCATTCCGCGCTGGCGATCTCGTTTGGGTCTCCGCCGCGGAATTCAGCCTTGAACAAGACATCTCTCACAAGCTCCTCCCTAAATGGATGGGGCCTTGGCCGATCGTAGCACCTGCTGGAGACGCACCCGAGGGACCTTCCTTCACGATTCAGGTGCCAGGCCACTTGCCTGTCTACCCAGTCTTTCATTGCTCCAAGTTGGCTCTTTACACGCCAGCGGAACATGACGATTTTCCCGGGAGACGTTCTCAAGACCCACCCTCCATGGATGGTTTTCAGGAGGTCGGCGACATCATCTCCCAGCGACGCTACGGCAACAGGCCAACTGAGTATTTAGTGCATTGTTCATACTGCACACACCGAGCTGACCGTTGGTTGACCCGTGCGGAACTTCGAGCAACAGCTCCAGATGTTCTCGCACGCTACGAACGCAAGATGCAAGGCAAGCCGCTTTCTTCGGCTCCACGCCACGCCCGCGTCCAGGTTCCACCATCAGATCGTCGGCTTCGCCCTCACCCCGGCTTCACTTCATAAGGAGGGGGGGGTGTTACATGCTGCGCCTGCACAGGAGGGCCATTTTCCAGGCTCTGCGTCCCTCAGGCTGAAAGCCTGAAAACCAGGGCCTACAGGCCCCGTGACTGTTCAGCCCGAAAGCCTGAAAACAGGGGCCTACAGTCCCTGTGTCGTTTCAGACTAAAAATGGCAACAGCCTTTTTAGCCTGAAACGAATGGCCATTTTCGGTCGTTCATCAGAACGACCGGCCCTGAAACTCAGGCACCGAACCAGGGTTTCGGGAACAGGCTATTCTTAGCCTGTTCCCACGCCAGCCTCAGCAACTGCTGCAGCGCCAGCCCCTGGCACACTTCGGCATTGGCAAGAGCAGCCTCCTCGGCCTGGCTCACCCTTCAGGCAGTCAGGAGGCAGGCCGAGGTAGTACATAGGGACTTCCCATGCACTTCACAGGTAGGCAGGAGGCAATTGTAGTCTTCAGGATTCGGCAGCAGCACTCTGGAGGGAGCGCTGCAGGGTAGTAGTAGCGTTAGCTTTTAGTCTTCAGCGCTGGGCGCAGTAGGTAGCTGTAGTCTCCAGTGCTGGGCGCCATAGCTAGGATAGCACTAAAGAGAGGGAGAGATTGGGCGGAGGCCAGAGGTACTTACCTGCAGCGCTGTTGCTGCAGCTTCGTCTTCGAGGTACCTGCAGCACAGCGCCAACATCACAGGTTAGTATCTGGCTCGTAACAGAGAGAGAGAGTTCTTCTTCTTCCTCTTCTCAGTCCACCATCTCCTTCTCCCCCTCTCATCATCTGACTTCACTGCATCTGCAGACTATGAGAGAAGAGAGAAAGAGCTTGGTGA